GTGGTAGTGGTAGTGGTAGTGGTAGTGGTAGTGGTAGTGGTAGTAGTGGTAGTAGTGGTAGTGGTAGTGGTAGTGGTAGTGGTAGTGGTAGTGGTAGTGGTAGTGGTAGTGGTGGTAGTGGTAGTGGTAGTGGTAGTGGTAGTGGTAGTGGTAGTGGTAGTGGTAGTGGTAGTGGTAGTGGTAGTGGTAGTGGTAGTGGTAGTGGTGGTAGAGGGCTTGGCCGGGGGCGGAACACTCGGAACACCTGGGTGGTCTTTAGGGATCTGGCCGCCGCGGTATTTAGGGTGGGCGGTAGTAGTAAAAGACGTGGGGGGCGGGACAGTCGGGACTGTGGGTGGACTTGGGGATCTGGCGGCCGCGGTATGCGGGGTGGGCGGGTCGGGAATTCTGGTCTCAGAATCCAACGACCCCCACCTGTCGGGTGGGGACAACATGGCTCGGGAGGCCAGACTCTTACCCATGCCGCCGCTCTGGCCCTCGTGGATCGAGCGTCGATCGCCCAGTCTGGCCTATGGAGGCCGCAGCGGGTTCGGACTCCAGCATGATCGCCGCGGCGGTCAACGAGCTGCGGCGCACGCTGCTCGGCGAGCTCCAGAAGGTCGGCAAGGAGATGACCAGCCAGACGGAGAGCGTCTGCGCCCGCCTGGATCTCGAGGGCATCCAGAAGGAGCTGCGCGGTCTGAGCGCGCGGGTGGACCAGGCCACGGCCCTCGACGGCGTGCGGCAGGAGCTCCACGGCCTGCGGGGGCGTCTGGACTCACAGGCGGACCACACACCGGCGCTGGAGAGCATCCAGAAGGAGCTCGAGAGTCTGCATGGGCGCGTGGGCGCACAGGCAGACCACTCGCTGGCGCTGGAGAGCATCCAGGGTGAGCTCCAGAGCCTGTACGGGCGCGTGGGCGCACACGTGGACTACTCGCCAGCCTTGGAGGGCATCCGCGAGGATCGGCGGCGAGCGAGGGGGGAAATGAGAAGGAAGGGGCGGCCCTTCTCAGACGGCTCGGGAGTCCCACAGCCTTCTCAGACGTCTTCCGAAGGCGCAGCACACCTTTCAGAAGGCCGCCGTCCGAGAAGGCCTTCTCCTTCTCACCACCTACCAAATCACCCCAACCCAACCCGAAGGCCTCAGATCTACCTACATTTCCAGAGGGGGGGGGTCGGGGAACGTCGAGAAAACACATATGGAACCCGTACCCCCCCCAACCCGAAATTCGGGTCTTCGGGTTGGGTTGGGGTGGTCTGGTAGGTAGTCACCTTCTGACTTCCTCCCCTGGGGCGCGCCTCCGAAAGTCTGTCGACATGGGCCCCTGGACCCCTCCCGGGGTCCATCCCACGCGGCCCCTCGCCCCGCATCGAGCCTGCGGGGGCTTGCCTGGGGGCCCGAGAGCGGCCCCCGGAGGCCGAGACCCCTGCCACGCCCCCTCGAGCCTCGCCCCCCCCCCCCCCCCCTCCTCCTCCTCCTCCTCCTCCTCCTCCTCCTCCTCCTCCTCCTCCTCGCCCCTCCTCCTCCTCCTCCTCCTCCTCCTCCTCCTCCTCCTCCTCCTCTCCTCCATCCTCCTCCTCCTCCTCCTCCTCCTCCTCCTCCTCCTCCTCCTCCTCCCTCCTCCTCCTCCTCCTCCTCCCCCTCCTCCTCCTCCTCCTCCTCCTCCTCCCCCTCCTCCCCCTCCTCGGCCGAGAGCCCCCCCCCCTCGCCGCCGCGAGGAGCTCCTGAGCCTGCACGACCGCGTGGACGGCCAGGCCGACGGCTCGCCGGCGCAGCAGCGCGCCCCGAGGGCGGCCACGCCCGGGGGCGCGGTGCCCCCGCTCGCCCCGGGGGCCGGCGCGGAGCCGCGGGCCCCGGCCGCGCGCAGCCCCAGGGCTGCCTCCCGCAGCCCTCCGCCCGCGCAGGCCGGGCACGTCGGCCACGGCCTCGGCGCCGAGATCCTGGACGAGCTCCACGGCATCAGGCCGGCGGCGAGCGAAGGGGGGGGGGAGGTGCGAGGCTGGAACCTCGAGGCGGCTGCTGATAGTTTTCGGCGGCTGGGGGCCGTTGTCAAGCCTGGGGGCCCCCGCAACTCGATCCAGGGCGAGAAGCCGCGTCGCAACCACCTCGGGAGAGGTCCAGGGACGTATTTTGAGTGATATTCGGCGGCGTGCCCATGGGGGGAAGTGAGAAGAAGAAGGCCTTCTCAGAAGGTGGCGGGGCTTCTCAGAAGCCCCGCTGGCCTTCTGAGAGGTCTTCTGCGTCTTCGGGGAGTCACCGAGCGCGTTGCACGATTTGCCGACTCGCAAACGTCTGGAACAAAAATTAGCCTGGCGAAGGACCCAACCATATGCAGTTGTGAATACCGCAGTCGTGAATATCATCTTCGCCTGTGCTCCCTATGGGGCCACGAACCGTGTGAGGGGCGTGCCGACATCCGTACAACGCGCACGGAGACGAGAGGTCTGCGTACAAGAGACAGACAGCGGGTGAGTCTGAGCGCGAGTGAGTCTGATTGTGACTGAGCCTTCGCGCGCGTGAGTCTACGTGCATATAAGTGTCGACGCCCATGTCGGCACGCCCCTCGCGAGGATCGCACCCGCTTCCTTCCCGTTATTTTTCTGCCTTTTTGCCCGTGCGCGCCATTGTCCAAGGCTGCGGGCGCGGCGCCGCATGGAACCCCCGCGACGCAAATCGGTCGCCCCGAAGGGGTACCGGCGACGCGCGCGGGCCGCCCGCTGCGCGGAGCAGAGAGAGCTAGCTGGCTGGCTGATAGCGGGCAAGGCGTTGGCCGCTGGGCAGAGCGACGACGGGGGCGAGCGAGGCGCTGGGCAGAGCGCCGCATGGAGTTCCCGCGACGCGCGTGGCGGCCGCAGTCTAGGATCACGCCTGGGCGATGTCGGCCGAGGGAACAGCGCGCCGGGCAGCCGACGGCCCAGGGCGAGAGTCCACAGGATCGAGGTCTGGCTGCGGACTCCCCGCGCCCAGCAGGTCTGGCCGTAAGCTGCCCCAGAGCGCTGTTCCCTCGCCCCGTCGCCTTCGCGCATGGTGCGTCCCTGACACTGGGGCCTTCGGTGAGGTGTGTGCCAAAATGCGGCGGCGCCGCCATGCGAGTTCCGCCGCTGGGACCTTAGAGCTCTTCCTATGGGGCCACGAAGCTTGTGAGGGGTGCGCCAAAATCGTGCAGCGACGCCACGCGAGTTCCGCCACTAGGACCTTCGGTGGAGCTCCCTATGGGGCCACGAAGCGTATGAAGGGTGTGCCCAAATGCGGCGGGGCCGCCATGCGAGTTCCACCGCTGGGACCATAGGTGGAGCTCTGTATGGGGCCACGAAAAATGTGAGAGGTGCGCCAAACTGGTGCAGCGATGCCACGCGAGTTCCGCCATATGGGGCCACGAAAATTGTGAGGGGTGTGCCAAAATGGGGCGGGGATGCCACGCGAGTTCCGCCACTGGGACCTCAGGTGGAGTTCCGCATGGTGCGCGAAGCTTGCGAGGATTGCCAAAATGGGGCGGGGACGCCATGCGATTTCTGCCACTGGGACCTCAGGTGGAACTCCGTTATAGGGCCACGAAGCGTGTGAGAGGTGTGCCAAAAATCGGGCGGGGATGCCAGGCGAGTTCCGCCACTGGGGCCTTAGGTGGAGCTCCCTATGAGGTCACGAACCGCGTGAGGAGTGTGCCGCAACAGAGACACGCGGAGGTCAGACGCAAACAGGGGGAGGAGGGGGACAGCGAGAGGATGAGACGCGGGGCGCTGTCTTTTCAAAACGAGGACCCAACACCACAGCATGGTTGGGAAAAACGCACATGTTCGCCTCGAATCGTAAATCGCCCGCGGCGGATCCAGGCCATGTGCGAGCATTTATTATGTGAGTAGTGGAGCGCGCTTGTCCAGGGAGGGCATGAAACACTTCTCAGAAGGCCGGGGCGTTCACTCCTCTTTCCTCCTCCGCCTCCTCCTCCTGTTCCTCCTCGTCCTCCTCCTCGTCCTCCTCCTCCTCCTCCTCCTCCTCCTCTTCCTCCTCTTCCCCCTCCTCCTCCGTAACCATTTTGGCTCAAGGCCAAAATGGTTACTTCTGAACTGCCTTTGCGGGGTAGGCTCCCTTTCAGTTTCCAATCCGTCAGGACTTTCATGCGTGCATCCTTGGCCCCACGAGGACTTGGCTGCTTCCTGGCCGCCGCGCTGATCAACTGCTGCTGCGTGCTGCTTATTGCATCATGGACTCCGAGTCGGACCGCGGTCGCCGCAGCGCCAGCAGGAGTGGCGGAGCTCCCGATTCGTCACGGGATCCACCTCAGCGCGCTCGAGACGCGCCTCGTCGCCGACACCAACGGCCTCCTCAAGACTATGACCGACGTCCTGCTCGTGCGCCGCAGCCACGGGATGACCGTCGTAGCGGCTCGGGACGTGCTGGAGACCCTCCACCTGGCGGCGCCACCGCGCCCCTCCCCGTCGCAGACATGGCCGACATCGCTGCAGCGCACGACACCGCCGCCACGTTCCCCACCCAGGAACGTGAAGACCCGCTTGCCCGTGACGATCCCTGGCGTGGTCGGCCTGCCGCAAGCTCTGGCGGACCTGGTCCTGCAGCCGCGGACGCTCGATCGGCACCTCATCCGCCAGCTGACAAGCTCACGGCGCTCACGGAGTCGCTCTACGAACAGCTCACGGCGCACGTGGACACCACCCTCGCCCCCTTCAAGGCCGACACAGCTCGCACGGTGGCTAAGGCGACTCACGACTCGCAGTCCATCCTGGAGCGGCGGCTCGATGGCACCGAGGGCGAGCTTGCCTCCCTCAAGCAGCGGATCTCCGCCTCGGAACGCGCCCAAACCGATACCAAGAAGGCCGTCGACGACCTTCAAAAAGCTTTGGCGATGGCGGAGTCTCAAGTCCCCATCCCGGACCTGGTTGCAGAGGCGGCGTTCGACCGCTCGCCTGACCCTGCCGTCTTCTCCATCGGCTGCGCCGAGCTCGTACCCCCTCGTCAAGTTCAAGATGCTCTTGCTACGTGGTTCGCAGAATCGGGCGTGGACTGGTCTCATGCGTCATTGGTGGGAGACGTTCCTGCAAAGCGTTTCACGGTCCGTCTTCTTGGATCCCCTGCCGTTACAGCTCCCCGTGCAGCTGCCCTCGTCCGCGGCCTCCGGCTTCCGGGCGGCACCTGGCGACAATTCCAAGTTCAGGCCGTCACTGGTCAGGCGATCCAGCTATACGTCAGCCCTGATCGGAGTCCTCGCCAGATTCGACGGGACATTCAAACTCGCAGACTGCATAAGCTCCTGGAAGAAGCACTTCCCCGTGCCACCCTCCGCCCCTACAAGCAGAAAGGCCGTGTTTCCTGTGATGGAATCCCGCTCGCACGCCTTGAGGTTGGCTCCACCGCCGCCGTTGAGACCAAGGTTGTCTGGAACCTCAACCTGGCGCGTGAGACCGAGCTCGACACGGCTGCCATCGACAAGGCTTTCCATGACTTCTTCTCGGAGGACAAAGGCATCGCGTGGGGGTAACATTCTCCCGCGACGCGGCAAGCTAGCGTTCCGCTTTGTGTCGTGGAATGCCCGGGGTCTCCTCGCGGTCAACATCAAACGTAGAAAGGCCAAGCTTGCGGTTCTTGCGCCCCTGTTGCGCCGAGGATACATCATTCTCCTACAAGAAGTTCATGGCGATCTCCTGCGCCTTCGTCGTGCTCTCCAAGCGTGCGCTGTCGCCTACGACATTCTCCACAACGATAGCGGCGACCCCAGCATAGGTGGTACGGTGTTTCTGGTACCTCGGAGCGATCACTTAGCCGTCGTTGACCTCTCTGTTGCTGAGGGCTGCCCTACACCATCAGCCTCTTCCGACTGCTCCTCTTCTGCGTCTTCTTCCTCTTCCGACTCGACTCCGCCCCCCGTTCACCCCCTAGTGTCCGCCCCTTCCCTTCCCGTGCGGCCCCCCGCCTCCGCCCCCGACGGACGCCGCGGCCTTCCCCACGCCTCCTACACCTCTCCATGCTCTACGTGGACACCCGACGGCCCGTCTTGGCCACTGGGCGTCGCTCGACCGCACCTGCACTCCACACAGCACACGCTCTTTCATCGCGTGCTGGTCCCTGGCCGGGTCCATACCCTTGAGTTTTTCTGTGGCACGGTATGTTGCGCGGTTCTCCTGAATGTCCACAACCGCGATCTCACTCCGCCGCAGCGACGGGTGGTCTTCGATTATTGGCGGGAGGCGCAGCGCTGGGCAGCCCCTTCTCCACGCATGCGGCTCTTCCTGGCGATCGGCGACAACAACATCCACGAGAAGCCAGCCTCCAACGTTCACCGTCCTGGTCCGCTTCAGTTCCCAGCTCCTGGCGGTCGCCAACATCAGCAATCGGCGCGGCGTCGTCTTTTTGGCCAGATGACGGAAATTTCTTCTGGCGAACCCACCAGGTATGACCCACGCAATGCCACCAAGACGCGCATCGACCGCATCTTCTGCAGCCTTCCAGCGCATGCACTACCTAACCTCCAGCTGCAGGTGCATATGCACCAGGACGCGGCGACCCTGAGTGACAAGCGTCTCAGTGATCATGCCGTGCTAGCTCTTCATATCGATTATGCTCCGCACAAGCTGGCGCACGTGCAGCCGATTCCCGATTTCTTGTTCTCGCTCCCGCTGTTCTCGCGGTTATTCGAGCTCTTGGCTCAACACTCTAACGATGTATCTGCGTCTCCGACGCTGCAATGGCGGGCGATCAAAGCGAACATGGTGGAAGCAGCACGGCTGACGCGGAATCATCTGTTACAGTTTCCTGGAGGTTCTCGCGCGCAGCTGCCCCTTGAGGCTCGCCTCTTGGTCTACCGGTCGATATCGCGTGCTGTCTGGCGACAAGACGTGAGGCTTGCCGCTGCGCTCAGCACTCTTGACGCGCGCACCTAGCATCACCTCGTTATAAACGGCGCGGAGATCAGTCTCCAGGATGAAGGCGAATTCGCCGAGCTTTCGCAGAAGGCCCACTATGCGCATTACATTTCGCAGAAAAAGACCGCTGCTGCTGCAGCCCAGCGCGCTGCCCACCATGGCCGCAACATGGAAGCCGCTCACCAGCAGAAACAGGCACGTGTGGCCCAACGGCGAGCTCGTGCTTGGGCGCCTTTTGCCAGAGTTCTTCAACTGGTTGGCATTCGCATCCCTGACGGACATGGCATTGCCACATCACCGCATGACATGGTACAAGTTCTTCAAGCTCATTGGTTGCCTATCTTCGCCCACAAGGATGTAGACCGCCGTTACATGGCATCTTATGTTCGACAACGCGCACCTTGCCTTCCGCAGCCACCCGACCTTACCCTACCCACGCCAGCGGCACTGCGCAGAGCTGTCCTACGAGCGCGCGTCTCTGCACCTGGCCCTGACCGCCTGCCATATCGAGCCTGGCTGGCTGCGCCGCGCGCCCTCGACGCTCTTCACGTCTTTTGGGACATGCTCGAGCACGGTGCAGCTCCTGCGGGGTTCAACGACTCCATCTTCTCCTTCATCCCGAAAGGCACGGAGGACGACGATGCAGCCGTCTGCACGCGCCTTCCCGACATGCTGCGCCCGATTTCGCGCAAGAACGCCGACAGCAAGATCTGCGCCGCCGCGCTGAACGAGCAAATGCGCATCCCTGTAGAGAAGCACGCTCACACGATTCAGCAGGGCTTCATTAGAGGGCGCAATTTCTGCCGTAACGTCGTCGTCATGGATGCTCTGGGACGCGCCGCAGGCCTCCCTCCCGACGCCAGCGCCCGGCGCCCTGTACAAGTGCTCTTTGACGTAGCGGCCGCCTTCCCATCCCTCGGCAGGGACTGGCTCTTCGCCGCGCTGGAGAACTTCCAGTACGACCGTGGATTCATGCACGCGGTTTCTGCACTGTACCACGACTCCCACGGCGTTATTTTGCTCGACGGCGACTTCCATTACATCTGTCCGCTCTCGGCGGGCGTTGCGCAAGGATGTCCTCTCTCGGGCACGGTGTGGGCGATCGCCATGGACGCCGTCATCAGGGCCATAGACCAACAGCTTGCCGGGCCAGAGGTGGGCACTGCGGCAGCCTGTGCAGACGACCACCTCAACAGCCTTCAAGCTCTCCCCCCACTGCACTCCGTCTTCGACGCGGCCTACAACTACGCGCATCTTCGGCTGCATCCCAAAAAGTGCGTGATCATACCTTTGTGGACGACAACCACACCTGCTGTACAACAGGAGGTTCGTGAGTTTCTGGCCGACCACGTACCGGCCTGGCAGCACTTCGACGTCCAAGGGCTTGGCACGTACCTGGGTGCCAAGATCGGGCCCGCGGCAACGATACAGAGCCAGTGGCAGAGCCCCTCTGCGAAGTGGTGGGAACGCCTCGTCGCTCTTTCCATTACGGGCGCGCCCACGGACGTTCTTGCTCGGGTTTACCAGTCCTCCTGCATTACTGTCTTTGGATACCTGATGCAGCTCTTTGAACTTCCTCCGGAGGTCCTTCGGCGTGAGATCCATGCGCTGCATCGTGTACTTCGGCTTCCTCCGAATTCTATGCGGCTCACGGACATCCTCTCCCTGGCATCCTGGCTCCCTTCATCAACACCTAAAGGCTTGGGCCCCTACAATTTCGCATCGCTCTGGCGGGCAGATTCCTTCACCATCAGCGATTGGAGACCGCTTCTACACCACTTGCATGATCTGGCGATGGAGCATTTGCCGATTGTCGAGCATGTTAGGGGCAATCTTTCTCCGAGCTTCTGGTTGACTCCGACATCCATCGTGCAGCGCTTCGCCAACGTGCAGGACGGCCACCCACTGTCGATCATCAAGCTTGCACCTACGACACTTCGCGCTCTTATGGCCGACGTCCTGGACCAGCTGCGCAGTGCGTCTGAGGATCACGCGCGCTCGCGGCCACAACGACTTCTACAATCAGCACTAATGCAACGGGCCCATCCCGATGCGCTCTGGGCTACGATTGCAAAGCGGCTTTCGACGCGGTTTGGTCCTGAGGTGGTCCCGGCTGACATCTCCGACCGATGGAACCATCTACGACAGCACCTTGTTGCGCTCTCTCCTGCCTGGCGCTGGGCGGTGTGAAAAAAAACGGCCACAGTTGCATGGCACACCTCGCATAGGATGCATGTCCACCCTGATCGCTGCTGCTGCGCCTTTGGTTGCCAGGAGCCCGACGAGATATGCCACTACCTGGTCTGCCCTCGCGCTCTCCACTTGACATGCTTACCACGCACATACGCACATGCCACGCCACTGGAGCGCATCGGGCTTGGGGATGCATAGGCATACCCAGCAGACCATCGTCACGAACGATCTCTTCACAACACGATTGCCCGGATGGTCCTAACCTACTACCTGGTGCTGGAGATCAAGCACTACCCACCAATATCTGCTACTACCACCTCCTACGAGTTCCATCTCCAGATTCTTCGAGCAGCTCGCGACCGCCTTCGTCATGGTGAGGTTCCTCTCCCGAAGGCAGTTGCATCAGCACCCGATGTCGTTCCTGCCCCTGGTGCTCCTCTCACCCCGCCTGCCCTGCCCTTCCCCGACGCCATGCTCGACACCCACGTCCCACCCGTCGCCCCCCTGCAAGGTGCTCCTGTCGTTCACGCCACGCCCATACAGGACGAGCCTGGTACCCGGCACCATCAAAATGCACCCGGCACCCAGCACCACCAAGGTGCAGGCCCCCGACGATTCCCACCATCTACTACGATACTACTCCCTGCTGGCCCCACGACTCCTGACGACGACATGCTCGGACGACTTGTTGCCGAGCCTACGTCATTACCTGCCGTCGCCGACGGCCACGATTACAACCTTCACGCACCAGCGCGCGCTCGTGCCGCTCAGCTACCCCCACATGGTCATGAAGCCTCTGTGGATGTGCCGTCTGGGCCTCGTGCAGACCACTACGACTCTATGATTGTTGACGGCGTCTTCGTCGACACCCCGAGCAATGCAGACTACCTGATGGTCGACCTGACCTCGTCGTTCCTGCCCGCGGAGTCGTTCTGCCCGCAGCGACCGAGCGACCACGTCGCAGAGCTCCGCAACCCGCAGAGCGAGTTCAACTAAGGAGCCCCGCCGCGGCCTGCGGCTGTTCGGCTTCCTGATGGACTCGCCCCCCTCTGGCCACTGCTGCTCTTCCCCCTCCTGCTCCTCCTCCTCCTCCTCCTCCTCCTCCTCCTCCTCCTCCTCCTCCTCCTCCTCCTCCTCCTCCTCCTCCTCCTCACCCTCCTCCCCCTCCTCCTTCCGAGACGGCCCGCCCTCCTCGCTCCCCCCGCCCCCGGGGGTGCGCCGCCGCCCAGGGGCAGCATGGAGGCCGAGATGGCGTCCGTGCGGGCCGCGATGGAGGCGTCCGAGGCACGGCTGCTGCAGCGGGCGCTGGACGACGCGTCGCGCCTCTCGAGTAGGGGATCGGTTGCAGACTTGATCGGGTGATGGCTAGGGGGGATGGATCTCATGGCGCTGGCCAGGACGTCTCAGCAGACTTCGCGGCGCCATTTCTCATGTCATTGCGTCCCTGGCCCCCCCTGGGCCGCGCACGTGACGCCGGCCATGATTCGCGCCCCCCCTCTTGGACGCCCCCTAGGCCGCCCCCGAATTGATGAATTGATTATTCCAAATCGACTACCGCCGGTCTCAAACCAATGTATGAGCTTCACGCTCGCTCTGGTTCGTGCCTCGTTGCGCGCTTCGACGGAAAAGTGATTGGAACTGGTCCAGTCGTGTGCATATAAGATGTGCGGCGTTCGCCACTCCTCTTGGGAACATGTCGCCCCAGGGTCACTTTAAGCGACCCACCGTCGGTTACCAGAGTCTGCGCTGAGCTGGTCGCGGTAGGAACAGTGAATCCACTACTCCAACATTGGTTTTCCCGCCGAAGGTGCAAAACAACATACGTACAATGTTCGCTGATCTACGGGACATGATGCGCACTTTCCGCAGACTCGGCGGGAAAAACCAGATAAGGGGTACTGTAGGTTTGCGTCGTGTCGACCAGCGGCGACCCCAGCGCGGGCGTTCAAGGTTGAACGCCGCCGGCGACCCAGAATCGGTCGATGTTGAACGATCGACCGTTGCGGCAGCGGCCGATCGCTCAAGGTTGAACGATCCCCGAGGTGACAGAAACCATCGCTGGGGTCGGCACGACACGAACCTGCCGTGAAGCAGTGCTGGAGTCGCTCCCCTGCTCGAGCCCTCGGCGCGCCCGACCTCGCCCCCGTGCTGGAGGCCATCCGGGAGGTCCAGGCGGCCGCGGAGGAGCGGGTCGCGGGAGCGCTCTCCGGCCTGGCGCGCGAGCTGATGGGCCTGTTTTCCACCACCACCACCACCATAAGTTGGAGGGGGTAAGGAGGAGGAGGAGGAGGAGGAGGAGGAGGAGGAGGAGGAGGAGGAGGAGGAGGAGGGTCCCCTCCCCCTCCAACTTATGGTGGTGGTGGTGGAAAACAGGCCCAGCACGAGCTGACCCCCGCGCCGGTCCTGCTCGCCCTCGAGGGACTGCGGGACGCCGTGGCCCACGGGGACAGAGAGGCAGAGGCTGTCAGGGCTCTGCCAATGAGGACGGTGCCGACAGGAGCTTGCAGCTTGAGGAGGAGGAGGAGGAGGAGGAGGAGGAGGAGGAGGAGGAGGAGGAGGAGGAGGAGGAGGAGGAGGAGGAGGAGAGTTCCACCGAGAGGGAGCGAAGAACATGTGAGGAAACGTTCGACACATGGCTGCAGGTTTCCCGGGCGCGCCAAAGTCCTGGCCTGCCAAAATCCCTCCCTCGTCCTCTTCCTCCTCCTCCTCCTCCTCCTCCTCCTCCTACTCCTCCTGGCTGCCAAAGTCCCCGTTCAAGGGGCCCTGAGGCTGCCTTCTCGGCGCAGCAGTGCGCGCTGGAGGAGCTGGCGGGCTCTGTGCGCCAGGGGCGGGCCGACGTGGAGGGGCTCAGGAGCGAGTTGAGCCCAGCACCTGTTCTAGCAGCTGTCCGAGAGTGCCAGGATTCTTTACAAAAAACTATGGGGCCGGCCCAAACATATATCGAAGAAGAAACAAACAAAAACATAAACATAAACTGTTGGCGCTCCGCGCGGATTTCTTGGATCCGCGCTGGGACCCCCTGGCGGCGCCTCCGGCGCCGCCCCTGGCGCGCTCCGCGCGCCAGGGAGGGGGGCCCAGGCGCGCATCCAAGATATCCGCGCGAAGCGCCAAAAGTTTATGTTTATGTGGTTGTTTCTTCTACGAGAGTGCCAGGATTCTTCACCAAAAACTGCGGGGCCCAAACATATACACTACCACCACCTCCCTGCCCCCCTCCCTCCCCCAGGAAACAGGAGAGGAAGAAGATGGCAGTGGAAGGAGGAGGAATCGACGTGGTGGTGGTGCATATTCTTGGGACGCGCGGAAAACGGCATAAACATAATTTCTCGGAGTTCCGCGCGGATATCTTGGACCGGTGCCTGGCTCCCCTGGCGGCGCCTCCGGCGCCACCCCTGGCGCGCTCCGCGCGCCAGAATGGGGGGGTCCAGCGCCGATCCAAGAAATCCGCGCGGACCTGCGAGAAATTATGTTCATGCCGTCTCTGTTTATATGAAGGATGCCTCGAGTCTTGATGGGGTCATGGCTGAGCTCGTACGACTGCGGGACGAGCTGAATCCTGAGAGGCCGATCCAGGATTGCCGGGACTCGATAGTGCAGCAAGTCAAGGTTGAACTCGGGAGATTGCAAAAAGAGTTGGATCCCGTTGAGCCTATGCAGCAATGCGAAGTTTCGATCAGGCAGCACGTCGTCCAAGTCGTGGAGGAGCATGCCAAATTCGACAAGACGTACGCAGCAGTCAAGGAGTGCCAGAAGACTCTGGGCCAGCTGGTGAAGACGGAGATCGCAAACGCGAAGGGCGAGCAAGGATCCTCTGCGCTGAACTTGATGAGTGCGTTTGCGGAGCAGCATTCGTTCTTCGCAGAGAAGGCTAGGCATACGGATCAGGCGCTTGCCGAGATCAGGGAGATGCATAAGAACAAGCAGCAGGCTGCGTCTGAGAATTTGAAGAAGGTCCACGCAGCCATTGAGAGCGTGAAATCCTGCACGGAGGACATGAAATCTAAGGTGGATTTCACGCCAGTGCTTGAAGCCGTGGACAAGAGCAGGGCTATCACGCGGCAGGTCTTGGACGCCGTGCGGACGAAGCCACGCGACGAAGGGACTCTCCAAATGGCCAGGACCGTCCAGCTCTCGGATATCAGCGTCATCCTTACAGAGCTGCAGCAAAACAAGGCGGGCTTGAAATCAGTCTTGAACGCAGTGGCGAATGCCAAGTCTACGATCTTGGAAGCGGTAACAAAGAATTTGGATGTTTCAGCCGAGGTGGCGGCAGTCTCCACGGTGTCGGCCAAGAAGCTGAGTTCGGAGCTAGCGGCTGTGAACGCAACGGTGAGACAGGGACACTTGGAGACTGCGGGAGCCGTGGAGAGGTTGAGCTGCTCAGTGGAGGCTTTGAAGTCGAGTGTGGACTTCGACGCAGTGACGACCGCCATCGAGCAGAACAGGGTCGACCTCAAGCCCGTTCTGGACTCTGTGGTCAGTGTGGGCTCATCTGTGGAGGCAGTGAGACAGTCGAGCATGGATTCCGCCAGGGTGTTGCAGGCAGTTGAGCAGAGCATGGTGGACCTCAAGCCCGTTTTAGACACTGTGGCCAAGCTGCCCAAGCTTGTGCAGCCGAAGGTAGACTTTACCCCAGTGCTGGCAGCAGTGGAGCACAACAGGACGAACCTCCAGCCTGTCATGGACGCTGTGGCAAAGGTGATGCTATCGGTTGAGCGCGTGAATGGCACCATGAATTTCGCGGAAGTGTTGGCGGCAGTGGAGCGAAACAGGGTGGACCTCAAACCTGTCCTGGACGCCTTGGCCAATGTACATGTGTGTGCGCAAAGCGTGCGGCCCACTGTTGATCTTGCGCCAGTGCTCGACGCAGTGGAGCGTAACAGGGTGGACCTCAGACCTGTCCTGGACGCCTTGGCCAATGTAAGTGTGTGTGCGCAAAGCGTGCGGCCAACTGTTGATCTTGCGCCAGTGCTCGACGCAGTGCAGCGAAACAGGGTGGACCTCAGACCTGTCCTGGACGCCTTGGCCAATGTAAGTGTGTGTGTGCAAGGCGTGCGGCCAACTGTTGATCTTGCGCCAGTGCTTGACGCAGTGGAGCGTAACAGGGTGGACCTCAGACCTGTCCTGGACGCCTTGGCCAATGTAAGTGTGTGTGCGCAAGGCGTGCGGCCCACTGTTGATCTTGCGCCAGTGCTCGACGCAGTGGAGCGAAACAGGGTGGACCTCAATCCTGTCCTGGACGCTCTGGCGAAGGTGAGCGCGTCCGTGGAGGACGCCCGTCCGAGGGTGGACCTCGCGCAAGTGCTCGCCGCGGTGGACCGAAATAGGGTTGACCTGGAGCCCGTTCTGGATGCAGTTGCGAAGGTGCACAGCTCCGTGGAAGGCGTGCATTCGGACCTCAAATTTCCAGAAATGTTGGCCGAAGCGCGGCAGCATCGGGCCGACCTTGGGTTCGTCCTGAGCGCCGTGGAGCGGGTGAGTTCCTCCATGAAGAGCACGGTCTGCAACCTGAACTTCTCACCGGTGCTCGCTGCCGTGGAGCGGGTGAGCTCCTCCTTGAAGGGCATGGTATGCGAGGTGGACTTCTCAGAGGTGCTCTCCGCCGTGGAGAGGATCGGCGGCGAGCGAGGGGGCAGGTGAGAAGCAGAAGGCCTTCTCAGGAGGCCTCGGGCCTGCTAAGAGGTTGTTTGTGTCTTCGGAGCAGGCTGAGGGAGCTTCTGAGAAGGCCGCGGGGACTTCTGAGTCTTCTGAGAAGGGCCGACCCCCCTCACTTCCCGCATTGCTCGCCGCCGAGAGGAATAGGAAGGAGACCAAGGCCGTCTTGGAAGCAGTGGATCGCGCCAGGCCTGTGGCGGAACTCTCGGAGATCAAGGAGCTCTGCGCCACCCTGTACGCCTCGGATCGTGCCAAGCCTGGGGCGGAGCTCTCGGAGCTCCGGGAGCTCTACGCCACCCTCTCCGACGTCACGGCCTTCGGCAACGGCCAGAATGCCGCCGACGTCTCCGTGGAGCAGCAGGCAGCGGCCAGGGCGGCCCAGGAGCAGACGCAGCAGGCGCTGCTGCACCTGCAGGAGAACCAGAGGCACCTGACGGAGGAGGTGCGCACTGGCCTCGGACGCGTCAGCCGCGAGGTGCAGACCCTGAGGATCGACCTCAGCCCGGGGGTCCCGGGAGGGCGAAGACTGGTGGCCACGTGTGAGCCTTGCCCCCGCCCCCCCAGGGGTTCATTGCGTTCGGGAGGTCCGGAGAGGAGTGAACCCCCACCCGTCCTTAGAAATCGTGGGGGGTGGAGGAGGACGAGGAGGAGGAGGAGGAGGAGGAGGAGGAGGAGGAGGAGGAGGAGGGAGGAGGAGGAGGAGGAGGAGGAGGAGGAGGAGGAGGAGGAGGAGGAGGAGGGATGAGAGGAGGCGGAGGAGGAGGAGGAGGAGGAGGAGGAGGAGGAGGAGGAGGGGGAGGAGGAGGAGAGAGGAGAGGAGGAGGGAGGAGGGAGGAGGAGGAGGAGCAGGAGGAGGAGGAGGAGGAGGAGGAGGAGGAGGAGGAGGAGGAGGAGGAGGAGGAGGAGGAGCAGGATGAGGAGGAGGAGGGAGGCGAGGAGGGAGGAGGGGAGAGAGAGAGGAGGAGGAGGCGGAGGAGGAGGAGCAGGAGGAGGAGCAAGAGGAGCAAGAGGATGATGATGATGATGAGGAGGAGGCGGAGGAGGAGGAGCACGAGGAGCAGGAGGAGCAGGAGGAGGAGGAGGAGGAGCAGGAGGAGCAGGAGGACGATGATGAGGAGGAGGAGGAGGAAGAGGAGGAGGAGCAGGAGGAGGAGGAGGAGGAGGGGGTAGCGTTCACGTGTGGCCACCTAGAAGAGGCAACCGGAGGCCTCTGCGGGGCGCCACGCACGGCCGCGGCTGGGGGCCCCTCCCGCGCCGGGACCCTCGTCCTCGGAGGCCGCCAGGAGTGGCCTTGGCCAGGGTCCGTCTCGATTCCTCCAATCCGATTCGATTCGATCTCGATGGCTTCCGATTCCGATTCGATTCGACCTGGGATTCCGATTCGGACTCCAATTTCCCAGAGGAGGCCTTCTGGCCTGCCGATTTCCGCCGATTCGACTTCTCCGGATTTGGCTGCCGATTTTCGCCGATCCCCCCCAGTAATTTCGATCGCCGATTCGATGTGTCTGTTCGATCCTGAGCTCTCCTGCCCTGCGCCCCTGGCCCCCCCACCCCACCAGCTTCTCGTGCCACTCTGGAGCCCCTGAGGGGCCTTCCGGGCCTCCCTGGAAAAGCTGGGGCCACCCTGAACCAGGTCCACCTCCGGCATCCCCCGGCCTTCCTAGCCGCACCGTTCCCCAGCGCGCGGGCGAGGCCATCGTAGTCCTTGGTCCCCCAGGTCATCGTCTCGCCAGTCCTGGAGTACCCGCTGGAGACCGGTCTCCACACCCCGTTCTCCGAGCCAGGTCGATCCATGAGCGTCTCGGGGCCCGAGCCAGGTCAAGAGAAGGCCCGAAACGAAGCACACCCCCCTCCGACGTCAGGTTTGTTCTCCTGACGTGGCCGTGCCAGGCTCTCTCGACCTACTCCCAGAGACCAGCTTTCCATGCGGACTCGTCCTTTGACGGCCCCGGGGCCCGAGACGGGCCGTGAGCAGCCTCTGAGGTCTGAGGCCAGAGTCTCGAGGCGGACCCTCCAGATGTCTCTGGCCTCAGCGACGCGAGCCTTCCCTTTCGGGCCAGGAGAGCTATGCACATGCACCGACCCTGACAGCGTCCATCCTTGACCCAGGATCGGTGCATATGCCTTCCTGGCCAAGGTAGGAGGGCGTATGCACCGATCCTGGGCTCAGGATGGGCCTGGCCAGAATCGGTGTATGTGCATAGTTCTCTTTCCTCTATCCCTTGGGGAGTCGTGGGCTCCGTGCTTCGCGCGGCCTGGGCCGCAAGAACGCGTCTCGAGGCGGACCCTCCAGATGTCTCTGGTCTCGGCGACGCGAGCCTTCCCTTGGGGAGTCGTGGGCTCCGCGCTTCGCGCGGCCTGGGCCGCAAGAGCGCGTCTCGAGGCGGGCCCAGCCGTGGCGGCGTGGCCGCGGGCCAGGAGCCCCCCACAGCGGGGCCCAGAAGTGCCCCCCCCCCCCCAGGCACTTCGAGCCTCGAGGGCCCCCCCTCCTCCCTTCCTCCTCCTCCGCCTCCTCTCCTATCCTCCCCTCTTTCTCTTTTCTTCCCCTCCCTCCTCCTCCTTCCGCTCCCTCCTTCATCCTCCTCCTCAGTCCTCCTTCTCCTCATTATCCTCCTCCTCTCCCTCCTCCTCCTCTCTCCCTCTTCCTCCTCCCTTCTCCGCTACCTCCCTCTCTTGCTCCCCTCATCCTCCTGCTCCTCCTCCTCCTCCTCCTCCTCTCCCTCCTCCTCCTGCTCCTCCTCCTCCTCCTCCTCCTCCTCCTCCTCGTCCTCCATTCCAACTCCTTATAAACAATTACTCTCTGTTGCACCCCGAGGCCAGTTTGTTGGGCGGGCCGGGCGTTTCGCTTGATTCTGAAACTGACAAGCTGGCAGCAGCTTCACAGTTGGAGGGCGGGCCCTTTTGCAAAATGTGGCTCTCGCCTTAGCGCCTCGCGCATTCGTTTCAAAAGCGAGCAAGAGTTTCACAGATGGAGGGCGGGCAGTTTTCAAAATGTGGCTCTTGCCTTAGCGCCGCGTGCATTCATTTCAAAAGCGAGCAAGAGTTGCACGGATTGAGGGCGGGTCGTTTTCAAAATGTGGCTCTCGCCGTAGCGCCGCGCACATTCGTTTCAGAAACGTGCGAACGTTTCACGGATTGAGGGCGGGTCGTTTTCAAAGTGTGGTTTTCGTCGTAGCGCCGCGCACATTCGTTTTACACATGTTTAAGATGTTCACGGGTTGAGGGCGGGCCGTTTTCAAATTGTGCCTCTCGTTTTCGTGCCACGCGCATCCGTTAAACAAATTGCAAGAGTTTCGCGGATTGAGGGCGGTTCCAAAATGTGGTTCTCGCTTTAGCGCCGCGCACATTCGTTTCAAAAGTGCACAACAGTTTCACGGATTGAAGGCTTGGCGGATCCTCTTCAAAATGTGGTTCTCGCCTTAGCGCCGCGCACCTTCGTTGTTCTAAAAAGACAATTGCACGAGTGTCACGGGTCCTCATGATCAGCGTACCAGGCGCGGTGTTGTGGAACGTTCCAGGATTATGCGGGCGCAAGAGTTGGTTTGGTTCGCGGTGTTGAAGTCCCAGGAGTGGCGTTCTGGCACGGTTCAGGATCGTCAAGACGCAACAATCAGGTTGACCCTTGGTGTTGGGATCCCGAGAACAAGGTTTTGGCATGTTTCAGGGTCTTGAAACGGTTGTCTTCCAACGAGGCAGCTCCAACAATTGAAATGAACCGTTGTAGGGGCATAAGAAGAGGGAGCTTGGAGGGAGGGTGCATTCCAACATCGTTGATGGCTCTTGGGTTTACACTGGTCCTCCTCCTCCTCCTCCTCCTCCTCCTCCTCCTCATCCTCCTCCTCCTCCTCCTCCTCCTCCTTCCTCATCCTCCTCGACTCCTCCCCTCTCCTCCTCCACCTCCCCCTCCTAGCCTCTCCCCCTCACCCTCCCCCTCATCCCCCTCCTCCACCTCTCCTCCTCCTAGTCATCCCTCCTCCTCCTCCTCCTCCACCTCCGGCTCCTTGCTCCTCGTCCTCCTCCTACTCCTCCTCCCACTCCTCTCCTCCTCCTCCTCCTCACCTCCTCCTCCTGCTCCTTGACCTCCTCCTCCCCTACTCCTCCTCTCCTCCTCCTCCTTCCTCCTCCTCCTTCCTGCTCCTCGAGCGCTCACCGGGGAATCAGTTTTCACGGGCAGCTGTTTCTTGATGGCCGTCGGTGGCCCTGGTGGGACCGAATTCGTCTGCCCCCGACGGCGCTGGAGTCGAAATTGTGCACAGCACGCGCTGTGCTTCATTTTCTTGTTGCTATCTTTGCTCTTGCATTGGTTCTGGCTTTTGGCGTGTACCTGTGCTGCCGCAACCACACTATGCGAGGGCCCCGGGGCCCGAGACCGGGGCCCACAGAGACGCCCAGCGCGAAGCGATGGAGGCGTCCAGATCTCAGAGCTCACCCCTCCCGGAACGTCCGGCAGTGCAACGGGACCACCGAGGGGGTCCGCCGCCCCCCCCCCCCCCCCCTTCCAGACCTCGAGGATCGAGAGGGAGGGAGGTTCGAGGATCGAGGAGGCCTGGGGACGACGTTTCAGGGTGTCTTGGGGAGTCCTGCGGTGTTTCTTTCGAGGGGGGGGGCTTCGGAGTGCCTCTCGGGATCTCTTGCTCGTGGCCCGTCTGACGCCTGCGGAGGCCGTCTCTCCCCCTTCCCAGTCCTCCTCCTCCTCCTCCTCCTCCTCCTCCTCCTCCTCCTCCTCCTCTTCCTCCTCCTCCTCCTCCTCCTCCTCCTCCTCCTCCTCCCCTTTTGGCGGAAACGGCAGTTGTGCCGTAAAGTGTCCGTTTTGCCAGACCTCCCAGTACGGTTTGCCCGGAGCTCTGGGCCATTTCCCGGGCATCCGTTTTTCATCCTGGATAGTTTCTGGGCGTTCCCAGGGCCCTTCGAGAGCCCTCGTGCGAAAACGTTCCGTCATGGTTTTTGTTTACGACTCGAGCATGTCTGTCTAGGCGTCCCCAGTGGGGTCCGAGTAGAGGGGTCGGAGTACCGCGCCGCAGCATCAGCGATGCGCCGACGTCGCCGATGCACCGCCGACGTCGCCGATGCGGCGCGATCCTCCGACCCCACCTACTCGAACCCCATGTGGGAGGCCTTTGCATCGGCGATGCATCGGCGATGCGGCGTGATCCTCCGACTCCATAAACTCGGACCCTTTTTGGGAGTCCTCTGCATCGGCGATGCTGCGCGATCCTCCGACCCCATCTACTCGGACCCCATCTGGGAGGCTTCTGCGTCGGCGATGCGGCACGATCCCCCGACACCATCTACTCGGACCCCATTAGGGGAGGCCAGACATCTGGCGCTCCAATTTGTTCGATGCCTGGACCCCCTGAGGCCTGGACAGCTTCCCTAGGACCGGCTTTTCATCCCGAGCAGTTTTCTTGCACTCCCGGGACCCGTTGGAGGGCCCCCAGAGGCAAGAATTGGCCCCCAAACGGGCCGCTCCCATTTTCTTGGAGCCTGGGATCTTTGGGGGCATGTTTGTCGACTACAGAAAGAGTGGCCCTTCGCCGGAGTGACCTTTGGTGCGGGTTCACTGGCCCCCCTTCCGATCGTTTATAGCGCGATGCGGCAGTGGCTGCTTGCGCGCTTGGACTTGGCCACCTTGCGCCCCCTTAGTCCGCGTATTGAAGGTCACTTTTGCCTAGGATCACTCTTCCCAGACCCCCGACGTCGTGATTTTTCACAACGTCGATCCCCAGAGGACTCGACCCTTTCCCCAGGACCGGTCCTTCATCATGAGTCTTTTTTTTGACAGCCCCGAGGCCTGGGAAGGGACCCTGGAGTCCGAAAATGGCGAAAAGCCTCCCGTCGTGACTTCTTCACGACTCGAGGGGGAGGAGGAGGAGGAGGAGGAGGAGGAGGAGGAGGAGGAGAGGAGGAGGAGGAGGAGAGGAGGAGGAGGAGGGGGAGGAGGCAGGAGGAGGCGGAGGAGGAAGGAGGAAGGAGGCGGAGGCGGAGCGGAGGCGGAGGAGAGGAGGCGGAGGAGAGGAGGAGGAGGAGGAGGAGGAGGGGGAGGAGGAGGAAGAGGAAGAAATAGGAGGAGGAGGAGGAGGAGGAGGAAGCAGAAGAGGAGGAGGCGGAGGGGGAGACGGAGGGAGATGGGGAGGGGGAGGAGCGGGAGGAGGAGGAGGAGGCGGAGGAGAGAGGAGGCAGAGGCGGCGGCGGAGGAGGAGGAGGAGGAGGAGGAGGCGGAGGAGGAGGAAAGGGGGGGGGCGGGAGAAGGAGGGGGAGAAGGAGGGAGAGGGGAAGGGGGTGGGGGAGGGGGAAAGGGAGGAGGAGGAGGAGGAGGAGGAGGAGGACGTTGGAGGAGGAGAAAGAGGAGGAGGAGGAGGAGGAGGAGGAGTAGGAGGAGGAGGAGGAGGTGGAGGAGGAGGAGGAGGAGGAGGAGGAGGAGGAGGAGGAGGATAAAAGGGGGATATGGGGGAGGGGGATGAGGAGGGGGAGGAGGATTTTTTTTTTGAGCTCCACGCTCTCCTCTGAGTCCTTAAAAGGATCTGACGCCAGCTGCAACGAGGCGGTGCAGCAGGCCTTGTAAAAATTAGGCATACGTGTTGAAGCACTGCATTAAATTGCCGGCATCAGCCGTTACACCCGCTTTCTGCTGCCTATAATGCGGGTGTTTTCCTTTGCACAGGGCTTCCCAGCCGTACTTCGCTGCGCGCGACGGAGGCGGCTGGCACTTGGCGGCTAACCCGCGGACAGAGGCTCCACTGGAATGC